GGAGGACTGCTTGAGCCCAGGAGTTTGAGGCCAGCCTGGGCAACACAGCGAGATCCTGTCTCTAAAAAACTTCTTTTTAAAATTAGCTGAGCACGTAGTCTCCTGCCAGGAGGCTGAGGCAGGAGAATTGCTTGAGCCCAAGAGTTCAAGTGAGCTATAATTGTACCACTGCACTCTAGCCTGGGTGACAGAGTAAGACCCCCATCTCTAAAAAAAAAAAAAAAAAGGAAAGAAATATTGTATAGCACTCATCTGGAAACTTCTATTTAAGCAAAACTCCTTAACTTCTTTGGAAGCAAAATATGTTAGATTATGGCATAAATCTCACCAAGAAAATCTCATCTTCTTCTTTTAACATATTTATTACACACAGTATTCATTTAATTGCCAATTTGCCAGATGACTCCGTGTTCCAACAAGGTCAGGGCAAGCCTTCACTCTCACCCCAGTCTTCATAGCACCTCTCACATCTTCCTTTAACCTCTTTCTTCCCAACTCCCAACTCTCCTGGCCTGCCTCTAACCCTCAGCTGGTACAAACCAACATTGTTTCCAGCACCCCCTTCCTCCCTCTGCATCCTCCCTGGGGAACATACATCCTTTAATCTCATGGCTTCAGCTATCACATAAATTCAGATGATTTGGAACTCTATTTTTCAGTACCTACATCTATCACTTTAAATGTCAGGATATTCTACTTTAAGTAAAACCCTAAAAGAAGAACCGATGTACCTTTAAAGAATAAAGGAAAGGATTGCCTGTAGTTCAAACCTACAACTGCCTGCCAAATTCCTAGAAGACTGGCATATATTGGGGAAGGAGGCGATTAAGACAGAGTTAGCCCACTTTGTGTGGTATGTTTATTTACAAAGAATGTTAAAATAAAAATGAGTAATCTGGGTGTCCTCTCTTTTTATTTCCTGTGTCTACCCTCTGAAGAGGGTAATGAAACATCCCAAAGAGAAGCAAATGAAAAGGCCCAAAATAATACAAAATCAGGCTAATCCAGTCCTGAAGAAAGAACAGAGGTTTTTGATCTGAACAGAAGCTGGTCTCAAGGTCCAAGAAAACGTGGGCAAAGTTCTGAGTGTGCATGCATAAATTACATAAGAAGGAAAAGGGTTCGTAGCTTTCATCAGATTAAAAGGGTACAGGACCTAAATAAGGACTACTGCTAAAATGAAACTCAATTTAATTATAAAGGTAAAGAAAGGTGATCTATTTACATGATAAATATCTTAAGACACCAATGACTGCAAGCATGTAGTTACTAAGTCCATCACAGCGCATGTCTGTTAACTCTGTGTATCTTCACAGTGTGATCTTCACCACAACTTGCAAAGTGTAACCACTCAGCACCTTCTGCTTCATTCTGTTCAGTGTTTCCACTGCAATTCTTCCAGCATAGTTTTTTAATAGCAAGTGTATGACTTTGGCTAAAACAAAGAGAAATGATCAAATTAATACATGACCATAAAACATGTTACTGCATACCTACCCACATATTAATTTAATTAGTGTGCTCTTACTATTAATGGTGTGAATGTGTAAACAGGAGCGGAAATCAGAACCTGAAAACTAAAATGTAGGGGTTTTTAAATACCATCACTAATATTTTAGCAATTTACTTACTGGCTAATGACACCACCAAAAAGAGGAAGAAACTATGAATTTCTGTCAAATGTTTGAATGATCAGTGGAATTCATGAAATAGCCATTAAAAAGTCAGTCTTTCAGATAACATTACTAAATGTACTTTTTTTCTAAGAATTTCAATTTTGCAATATAGTCTTGACGGCTTCTCATATTTTTACTGCTGGGTAAAGAAAGACAATGAAAGATTTAATGAACTGCCCGGTGAAAGAGTCCTGGTCTCCAGTGTGACCTCTAACTGCATGACCTTGGGCAAGACAATCATATAATTCTTCCTTCACCCCCCATCCCCAAACCCCTTGAAAAGGCAGACCTGGAATGATACCAGACATAGATTAGTAATAAATCTTTATGAAAATACAACATCCTCTATAAATTTAACCTGCAAATTAGTTCCTCAAACTAAAAAGGAATAAAGTGGAAAAACCTAAGTAAGTTTTCGGGCAGTAAACACTGAAAACGATACTAGAGCACACAGATTATACTTTCATACCCTGAGAGTCCCTGTCACCAGATGCACTCTCTTGATAAAAAGGTAAGAATGAAGGATATACCTTGAAGTAACGAAACACATTTTTAAAATCAGCCCACCAGAACCTATGCAACCAAACGACTGTGTGCCCGTGGAAGTGGTCACTCTGGTAGGTTACAACAACGCTGCTGTGCCTCCAATGTTTCTGAAATTCTTCTAGAGGAAATGCTTCCATATTATGCAGACTATGATCTGATATCCATGAACGATATCTCGTCTTCCTTTGAGGATGAATTTGATTATTCAAAGCAGCTAAGAATCACTTGGTGGTGAGTTTTATAAATAAATGTGAATGAAAAGCTTAAAAAGCAAATGATCAAATGAGTAATACTATAAAAGGTATTATAGAACAGGTTTTCTTGTATCACTAGTAAGCTAGTTCTGAACATAGTTCATAAAGGGAAGTTCCAAGAACATTTTAAGTGACAGCAACACCATTGGAATCTCATTTATTACTGATCAATATTAAAGTTCTTTCATTTCACTAGAAGAAGGATTTGAAATAGTGACATCACTGAAATAAACATACAGTATATTTCTTCCCAGGAGAGTTACTTTGAGGGACAGTACTTATTTGGCTATATAAGCTTTGAGATGATAGGTTTCTTTTTTTTTTTTTTGGTAATGTCCTTCAAATGCAGCATATTAACGCATCACGTTTAGAAGATACGGGTTTGGGGCACCAAACTAAAAGGCAGTGTTTACCTATACCACTCCCTTTGTATGGTATTACCAGCAAAAACTTTAATTTGAAAGGTACTTGAAATTTGGTAACTGGAATATTAGCAATCCAAATAATACAACATGCTAAGTCAGAATTAGTTCCATTTTGCAAATCCCAAGTCATCATATTGACAAAAAAAAAAAAAACCTGAAAATGAAAAACTCAAATTCTATAAAAGTCCCCTTCCCATGCTTTGTAAGGGGTTTCCTGCCAGCGTCCCACATTGGGGCCATGGAAGTGGTCTGCACACCAGGTCAGAAGCAGAGCAAGCACTGTGGGCAGGCAAGGCGAGAAGAAGGAAGAGAAAAGGGAGGGTTGCCCAGGAAGAGAGAAAATTTCAAATGCCTGGAATATGGAATTTCATTAAATTTCCTCCCTCTTCAGTAAGCCAAAAGCAGGAACTAGTTCTGCTAAACCCAGCATTAGAGAGGTGGGAGAGAAGCCATGGGGGCATGGTAATAAATTAACGAATACAATTATAATGAACACTAACATGCTTGGCTGATTCGGAGACCAGCTCTGCTAGATGAAATACCTTATAAAAGACAAGTGCTGGCCAGGTGCGGTGGCTCATGTCTGTAATCCAGCATTTTGGGGAGGAGGATCACTTAAGTCCAGGAGTTCGAGACCAGCCTGGGCAATATAACAAGATCCCATCTCTACAAAATTTTTTTTAAAAAATTAGCCAGCCATGGTGGTGCACACCTGCAGTTCCAGCTGCTCAAGAGGCTGAGGCAGGATGAGTACTTGAGTCTAGGAGTTTCAGGTTGCAGCGAGCTATGTTCATACCACTGCACTCCCGCCTGGACAATACAGTAAGACCCTGCTTCTTAAAAAAGAAAGGAAAAAAAAAAAAAGACGTGCTCACAAATCTCTCTCTATTAAGCACTCTCCCTCATTACGATATTGTCATTTGAAATTATATTTGAAATTTTCAACAGTATGGATATATGAAAGTTGAAAAAGCCTACATAGAATGCTATTAGTGACTTTTTTGAAAGTTTAGACATTTTAAAAGAATAAAATGGGGAAAATACTAGATTAAAAATGATCCCTGCTGTTTAGGTGGGTGGGGGTAGAAAGAAGGTTGTAAACAGCAGGTGCTATATGCCAGTTCAGGTGGCAAAGGTGGTGCCTGGGGCATGAGGCTTGGGGAGCGCTTGCTGTGCCAGAAATCCAGTCATGGGCTGAGGGGCACCCGGCAATTTGTTCCATTACAGGATCTGAGATGAAGAGTTCAATCACAAAGATATGGCTACCAAAGCACAATCCATAATACTTAAAAAAAAAATCACAAACATTTTGAATCAGAATTTTTTCCCAATAGCTGGGACTGTACACACATGCCACCTGCCCAGCTAATTTTTACTATTTTTTGTAGACACAGGATTTCACTATGTTGCCGACACTGGTCTCGAACTCCTGGCCTCAAGCAATCCTCCTACCTCAGCCTCCCATAGTGCTGGGATTACAGGTGTGAGCCACCATGCCTGGCCTTAAATCGCATTTTATTAAGAATCTACTATAGGCCGGGCACGGTGGCTCACGCCTGTAATCCTAGCACTCTGGGAGGCCGAGGCGGGTGGATCACTCAAGGTCAGGAGTTCGAGACCAGCTCTGAGCAAGAGCGAGACCTCGTCTCTACTAAAAATAGAAAGAAATTATTTGGACAACTAAAAATCTATATAGAAAAAATTAGCCGGGCATGATGGTGCATGTCTGTAGTCCCAGCTACTCAGGAGGCTGAGGCAGTAGGATTGCTCGAGTCCAGGAGTTTGAGGTTGCTGTGAGCTAGGCTGACGCCACGGCACTCTACTCCGGGCAACCGCGTGAGACTCTGTCTCAAAAAAAAAAAAAAAGAATCTACTATAGTTGAATTCTAAAACACATCATTATAAAAATCACTTTTGTATCAAATTCTTGTTTATAAAAACAATATTATGCAAACAAGAAACTTGGTCAAGCAAACTTTTAAAAATAAAGTGCAATATAATAACAAACATCAATTTTAGGAGGTTACTACAGAACAAAGAAGTACCACTTAGTGGTAAGCCTTCATCCCTCTCCATGAAAATGTGGCATAAAATTTGCTACTAAAGACTCCACAATTTCTATCTAATCTGATGGAAGCAAAACTAGGAAGAAAATACCTTTGACTTGTTTCTAAACAGTGGGTCCAGTCATTTATTTCTGGAACTTGATCAGTCTTTTTCCAAGTATATAAGCAAATCTTTCCACACTCCAATCCTACTGCAACCACATATCTGTTTTTAAGGGAGGGAGACAGAGTCTTTAATTTAACATGAATATCTGTGATTTCCATCATCACTCTAAAGCAGTTCTTCACAATGTTCCCAACTGTCCCTGGCTTCCAAAAGACTGTTTCAAGGCATCAGCCCAGGACACACTGCATTGATCTACTGCATTCCCAAGGAGCCTCTTCTCTATAGAGGTTGCACACAGATTTACCGCTGTCCTCTGCTGGCAAAGCCCACGGACCACTGTTTCCCTGGCTGGCTGCAGGGACCCTTGTGCCACGGGAAGATGCTTGTTATAGAAAAGAACTACAGTCCTGTATTTGGTGACTAAGAACCTTCACATGACATTTGTAATCTCTACTCTGCCATGCTGAATCGTCAAGTTCTAACAATTCCAAAATTGTTATGAGAAACACAAGTATTTTAAAAAAATCAGCAACTCAGTAGCTAAGAGAACCCACAAATGAAATGATAAGAGGGCTACATATTGAGAAACCAAGCAGTCTTCTTAAAGGAAACATGAAACTAAGCCCCACACAGAGACTGACCGTTGGGAAGAGTTGAGCACTGGGCAGACGCTGACAGCTGTCACGGCGCCCCCCACGTCCAGGACTGAGGAGCAGGGGCCAATGTTGTGCTCAATGCAGTCATCGCTGTAGTCACATTCACCCCAGGCAACCACCTAACACAGATCACACTTTGTAAAAAGCTTTCTCTTTGCAAGGTTTCTAACAATGCATTAGAGAGTTTCAATGGCACAGAGGTAACACAAAATATTTTCTCTAGTATTTTAAAAGTGCAGCATTTACATTTGTGTATGATGCTCCAGGACTTCAGGACATTTCAAACTCCAGAGAGAAGCCACAGTATAGCAGACATGAATCTCTGAGACCTCAGCTACTTACGCATGTTGATCTAAAGATGGACTGTCCCTGCCCAGAGACCAGAGGGGTGTCTAGCATGCCTTTTTCACTCACAAATCGATTTTGATCCAGTTAAGTTCAATTAGCCACGTCCTCACCAAGGGGGGCTCGTGCATCTCCCCAAGGTTACCACAAAATTCATGGGGACTAATCAAGTCTCTACCTCTTCCTCTACACCATCCATTGCTTGGGGAACCAACTCAGGTATCAAGAGGACCTAACCCTGATGATATTCCTCATAAGAAATGAGGCTTCCCTGGAAGCTCACACCTCAATGGTATGAGGCTGGTCACAAAGAAATGGAGAGGAAGGTGAAGCAGAATGCAGGGACAAAGCAAGATTCTGAGCAGAAGCTTTGTCCAAGCAAGCAAAAGCATGTTTTGGAGCATGTGCAGCAAATACTGCTTTGTCTTGCTGCCCTGAGCTCGGCACTGGACCACCTTCTATGGGCACAACTGTGGAGGACAGAAGCAGTCCTGCTTGCTCAGCATCTAGCACAGCGTAGGCAAATAAACGCCAAGAAAGAAATGAATAGGCAAATGAACAGGAGGGAGGGGCTGAGAGATCCTGTGGAGGCTGACATGTAAGTGCTTCACCTGAGGGCTGCCATACCTGTGCTAGCCTTCCCTCCACTTTAGTAATCTGTACTGTGTCTATGACTAGAGAGGGCAGGGAGAGGAAAGGAATGCTAAACTGTCTATAGGAACTGCGGAAAAAGGAAATAACACTCTAAAGAGTATGAAAACAGAGGAAAGACCAAAGGCCAGGAGGACATTTCCCAGAGAACAGAGGTAAAAGTCATGTTCAAGAGCATATTGCTAGCTAATTTGTTTTGACTTTCTTCCCAGTTTGGATCACATTCCACACCACTTCTACCACTGAATAAAAAGGTAATAGTCATTCATTATAGAAAAAATGTTAAATTCATATAAGTATGAATCAGAAAACTAGAAATTGTTTTTCCCCTTATGCTCCTACTGCCCTCTCTTGCCCTCCTAGTTTCTCAGTCTTGATTCATTTCATTTACTGCTCTTCTTTCACTGGGACCATTTGACGAAGGTCATGTGCCTGAAAGCTCTTCTCTTCATATTTTGATATTTCAGAGAAATGATTAACAGAATTTAACACATAATAAAAACCTTTTTTATTTATGTATATGAAAAACACAGAAGGGAATAAACCTGTTTTCTTTTCTTTAACCCAGACAGAGGCTGGATACATAAACTGATTTTTAAAAATTATATCAGAAACACAGGATTATGTGTTCTTTATTCAAATATACCTATAGAAATATCATTTTACATTTGAAAAAATATTAAATTTTTAAAAAATTACCTTTTTGTCCCGACTCCCAGTGAAGAAATACTTGTTATCAGGACTCCAATCACAAGACCAAATAATTCTACTGTGCACAGATGTAATTTTGTTGGTAAAAGCAAAGAGACTGAAAACTGGGTCTGAAAGAAATACATGCACACCACTAACAAAGTAGAGAAAACTGTTTTTTTACCTGTTAGAAAGCTGTTTAAGTGCTTTGTAATCAATTTAATGTGTGACTTAGTAATCAATTCAATATGTGCTGACTTTTGCAACAGACTGAGGCCAGGCATCTGACCCCTAACCAGAAGGCTGTGAGCGTACGGTATTTTTCTAGTAGGGAATGCTTTTACATTGAGTAGTGCCTCTCCAGTGACTGATGACAAACATCTTCCAGATACTCAAATAAAGTTCAATTTACATCTATGGAAGAAGCCTGAAGCAATTTAACCTTACTCAAGAAGTAGCTAGATTTGCATATTAGGCTACAGGAAAAAAATTAATGCTCTACTTAAATAATGTTTAAAAAAATACCTTAATATTTTCCCTGTAAGATTTAAATGTGAGGTAATGTCTAGTCCTTATCTTGGACTAAACCTAAAACACATAACTGCTTATGAGGAGGGAATGGGAGTGTATCTATTAATCTATAATCTACAAAGACACAACAAATTAATAAATATATT